AAAGATGCAGAGTAGCAAAGGCCTGGATGCTAATCCAGACTTTGCTTGTTTGATATGTTAGTATTTTGGAACACAACCTGCTCCTGGGTTACCCAGCAACGTATGATGTCATCATGCATCGCAGGCCAGGTGGCCACACCTGGAAGGCATGGTTACCTTGCCCCTTAAAGGGCCAACCCTGACACGTGGTCTCTCTCTTACTCTTACACTTGTACTCTCCTCTCTTCCTTTTTTTCTCTCTCTCTTTCTCTCTTTCTCTCAGGGCGCCCCTTCCCTTTTCTCTCTCTCTCTCTCTTCATGTCCTGCTCCCCCCTCCCTCCATACCCTCCTAATAAATCTATTGCAGAGAATATCGGTTCACCAGCCTTGTGCTTTTTAATAACTAACATGATACATGACTCTTCAAAACTCTTCACTCTGGAGTCTTACCGTTTCTGCAGATGGATAGTGTCGTCTATTGCAAGACTCAATATATTTGGAAGAATTTGATAATAAATATAAGATGGCTTTGCAAAGCAAAAGCAATAAGGAAACGGCATTTATCCTGTAATGCCATCATATTAGAATTTAGAAAATTCTGGGTATTCACTGTTTGTACTTGGAGAAGTCTGAAATGTCTTGGTTTCAAGTTTCAAGGAAAAATTTTAAACTGTATTTAAAAATCCATTTAAGTTAGAATTGTATTAACTCAACAAAACGATCTAGGCAAATATAAGAAGTCTTGATAACTCTCCCATTAAACAACACGTAAACTATCATGTAAATGAGATAGAAAGTCATCAGTAGAGTGCCTATAGTCTGGTCCCATTTGAAGAAAAGGCCAGTTGATTTCTTGCAGATATCAAGAAGCAAAAAAATTCTTAGCAATTCCCACAGAGGAACCATAAGCAGCCAACTGGATTATAGATAAGGTGACTTTAGTTTGTTAGGCAATTCAGGTCTCCTTTAAAAACAAAGGGGGGGCCCTCTGAGTAATTGCACAGGTAAGGAGACATAAACCAAAGCTGTCCCTGAAAAGCCAGGACAGACGCTTCTTGGTTATGACTGGCTCCCATCCCAACGTGAGTGATGTGAGAGTAAAATAATTAGCAATAGGATTTGGAAATCTAAACAGCCTTTCTGTACTGGGCCAGTCTTTCCACTTTGTTACATTGAGCAGATATGAATAGTGGAGAGCACGGAAACCCCGGAAAGCTAGTGAGCTTGAGCTGAAGGGGGGACAACAGCAGGTGGGAGGGATACAGGAGAACTCTCCAGATTTCTCTGAAGAGAAGCATCAAACGAGTGCTTGAGCTGTCTTTTGCTGACAGGCTACAGAACCACACAGACCAGTCTGGAATGTCAAGTGCAGAGATGAGTGGCTGTGAATAAAAGCTTCAGGCCAGCGTCAAGTCTACCAAATGGAGTTGCAAAGAGCTTCGAGTTCTGGAAGCAAAGGCTATAGACATAAATCAAACGGCGCTCTTCCAACACTGGCAGCGTGGAAACAACCAGCCACGTGTCACGCTTCAGTGTCCTCCACCAGAGCTTCACACATGGAGAATAATTACTGTTAGCCCTGCTGTCTGGGAGTGATGCTGGCGAGGGTACAGTGTTCGCAGGCATTGATTGGGGAGGGCTGCACACTCCTACATCTAGAGCTAGGATGATGCACTTCTCCCCACGTTTGTTCACTCACAGGATCATAGAGAACCACTTACAAATTTCCCTTTGAGGTGTTTCTTACATGATTTATAGCCAAGGCCTTGTTTTTAGCATATTCCCTGCACCTGGCTATGTGCATGGCAGTCTTATATTCCCAGCAGGGTAAGAAAGCTAAAGAGATTTTAGCAAGCAGCTTCCTGGAGATAAATCTACAACCAAAAAGTTGTATTTTTAAGGATGATCCTAAATTCTGAAAGGGGGGCAAAAAAAAAAAAAAAAAAAGCCAGCATTTCTCTGCAGGCAAGGGCAGTGGAACTGCTGACTCTAGGAAAGACTGAGGCAGGGTGCTCAGAGCAGAGCAGGCATCCTTGCTAGTGCTCCCTTTCTGAGCCCGGAGGAGTGTGAAGAACTGGGAGAGGAATGTCCCCAGTGGCAGGAGCGGCCCTCTGTGACTGATGGCCAGCTGCCCGTAGAATCAAAGCGGCACTGGTTCTTTTGATGGATCTGCTGTCTTTAGAGAGCTGGTCTTTCAAGTATAAGATTCCCTTTTGCTCCTTTCTTGTAGATAGTTCTAGAAGGATAAAATAAGGCTGGGAATACAGTTCAGAGCGCTTGCCTCACATGCTCGACGCCCTAGGTTCAATTTCAAATACTGAAGGAAAAAAATGGAAGTTTTTCATGTGACCCTAAGAAGCATACTTATATTTTGACAGCTATTTTATCTTAAAATACATAATTGCCACTGAGAGAAATGGTGTCAAGTTGACATTGGTTTCATGTTTTTTAAAGAAATGTAGCCTAATGGGCCTAACACTTCTCTTTCATTGACTGTGAGTCCATTTGCATTATATGTTATTCATTTATTGTATAAAGTTCTATGTTATCAATTCACAAAATAGTCCCGGAACTTGCATTATTCACTGAGGCTTCTGATAGAATGAATACATTTAAAAACAGTCATGTGATCATATTCATATAAGTAAATAACAGTAGACATAGAAGCCAGTACATTATTATTGCCAAGGTACTCATTCAGTCTTGAAAAAGTATGAATCACACAGTTAGTTCCCAATTGTTTTACAGCATAATTTTTTCCTGTAAATACATAAAAGGGGTTTTAAAAATTAATTATTTTCTTTCTTTACTCAGAACGACTTCTTATGATGGAGAAATAACAACTTCTGTTGACTACATAAACTTTATATCACCCTCATTCTGATAAAAGGATTGCTGAGTACTCTACTATCAAATTCTCAAAGAATTTTACTTCCAGGAACAATAGTCTTTCCAAGGACTGCTCAGTCCCTTTTGCTAATTAAAAGTGCAAAGATACATGGTTTTATGCTCTTCAGATTGCATTTTAAGCAAGTAGACTCCTGACCTTCGATGACACCGGAAGTACCTCCTTCAGTGTGCTTTTTCAGCAGTGCTGTATCTAGTACTTAAGGGAAGACTCTTCGGGCTCCACTTCATTTTTATGCTTTATGTGCACACACAATTAATGACTGGTCCATTGGTGGAAGTTTTCATTTTGTATTTAATGTCCCAAGCCTTCTTTCTATTTTTAAAGAAAAAAAAATAGTCTTTGTGAAGACAATTTTTTATTCAGAGAGTAAGAGACCAATCTTGATTGATCATTGTGTATTCCACTAAAATCCTGCAATACTTAAGCTAGGGCCTGGCTAGGCAGCCACGACCATAGCATCCTAAGAGATTATTACATGTCTGGGCTTTCCAGGGTGCACAACCCAAGGTTGTCTCTTTGGTACAATTGTAAATAGCAATCAACTGCTTAATGACATAATGTGAATTTTTATAGGCTCATCTAGTTCTCCAGCCAGAATTGCTCTCTGAACATTTGAGATAAATCTTCACTCACTCCTTAGAAATATTCAACACACAGGTTAATTTCTCACTATTGATTTTCTCCACTGTGCATCTTGACTGTTTCCAGATCACTTGACCTATACAAAAGATCTCGATGACAGTCAGTTTGAAAAGAACAGCTTTCCAAAAGAATGCTTGCCAAAAAAAAAAAAAAAAAAAAAAAAAAAAAAAAAGGAAAGAAAGAAATGAAAAACAGTACAGATGCCAAAGTAACACTTCCTTGATTCTTAGCAGGGAAGTTTAAGTGCATATTGTGATTGGGGTTAGAGGACAGAAAAAAAAAAACCAAAACAAACAAACAAACAAACAAAAAAACAAACAAAAAAAAAACAACTTGTGCACGTCTTCAAGAAGAGGAGGCATATATCAGGCTTCAGAATGTTTGGACATCTTGAGGGAAGTACAGGATTCTTTTACAGTGACTGAAAAGTCCAGGTGAAAAGGCTCGGCAGGAGCTGGCATCTCTGGGCTTTTGTTATTTATCTTAGAAAACAAAACCAAGCAAGACAGAAATAAACAAATGACAACAAAACGAACTGACGCTTCTGGATCTTTCTGTCCTCAACTTCAGTGGTCTATGTCTAGAACATATAGATCATATTGATGTATATATAAACTATATTAAAAAATCGTAAAAGCAACGTACCCAAAACAAATAGAGAATGTATAACACAGGTGATTTCCCCCGGCTCAAGACCCATTTTTAGGCCTACATATTTTTCTCCACTCCATCAATACTGAAAAGTAAAAAATTATTTTAAAGATTAAATATCCAGAGTAGTTAGTTTTGGAGTACTTCCTTTTTTCGTACTCCTGAAATACTGCCCACTAACAGAAAATGGTATCAGAAATGCTTTATTACTGGTAATTTCTTTTTATAGGCTTCCAAATAAAACAATAACATCATTATTTTCAACAATGGAGGTGGGCTTCAAAACTAATGATTAAATAACAGCACTTTTAACATTCCCAGATTAAACAGAATGAAGTGAATGAGGCTCTTTCCACGTAACTTGGAGTGAATATTTATTTAAGAAAGACTAAACAATTACAGGGACCCCACTCCATTGCCTTCTTTAATAAAAATTAGGACTGGACAAACAGCAGATTTTTTTTTATTTAAAAATAATAGAAAAGTAAAAATAGATTTCCTAGGGAAATTTCTTTCCTGACTCATGTGTGTATGTTTGTGTGTATTATTTTGTTGCTTCTGTGAGATCTTTCTTTGGAGTAACTGTGTAGCATAAGGTTTTTGTTTGTTTGTTTGCTTTTTGTTTTTAATTGGATTTATCCAAGGACACTGAATTAGAACTTTAGCTGATCGGTGGAAAACGAACTCTTATGAACCATGACAGATAATATAGGCCCTGAAAAGAGAATGGCAAATGTAAATGAGAGCATGTAATGTAAGTTTTAGATGCCATGTATCCTTGTTTAAAGAGAAGACAAAAGAAAATAGAACAATGGTATGAGCACTCTGAAATCATCTGCAGCACTTTAAAGGGTTAAACCTGCTTAACCCATTCTCAGAGAATGGCACCAAAGAGTAGAGCTCACCCCTTAAGCTAGTTCTAGCGCTGTGGTAGCCTCAGGTTTCCAGAGCAGTCATGCGCTCTGCCTCCACCCCCCTCCCACCCAATTTATAGGATCCATTCATAGCTACTCACTACTGCAGGATTTGACCTGAGAAAGGCTAGGATTGATTAACTCAGCAGTTGTGGTGAAAGTCCCTAAATAATCTTTACCCTTGGCCAGCAAGGGAACTGCTAGTCTCGGTTCTCAGAAGCAGCTGGTGAGGTTCTCAGCCAAGTCCTTCACGTGTAGGAACTTCTCCTGGATAGCCTACGTTGATGTGGCATTTACACATCTTTCAAGCAGGCTCCCTGGATCTAGGAAATGTTATTCCTGACTCCTTTGACCCAGATGCCTGTGACAACACAGTTCTCAATCTGTAGGTAATCACTCTTCTTTCCTTTCTAGGAGCTGTCATGGTGGCTATTTTTTTCTAAAATAGTCATGTTGATATGTTCAAAAATCCATTGCTGAGTCTCAGACAGAGGGTCACATCTGGCCATGAAAATCTTCTTCTCTGCGGGGTTGCAGTCCATACAGCTGTTGCTCACAGAATGAAATAATGTTCTGTCCTAGATGGATTAGAAAGAAAAGGCTGATATAATACATAGTGAATGCCAAAAGCATATGCATGTAAAATATTTGTTTATATTTGAGTATATACTCAGAGTCTAATTAACCCAGCTCCCAAATCAAAGATTATCAGAATTCAAAGGATTCATAACTCCTAAGACAACTTGAGACAAAAAAAATTCATTTATCCATTTTTTTTAAAGGGGAATTCACTCATTTCTTGTTTTGTAGTGAGTATTTTGCTGCTGTTTAACTGCTGACTAGTTTAAAGGGCTTCTAGCCATTTGGATAATATATGACATGTATACACACACACACACACACACACACACACACACACACACACTGTAACTGAGTGCACAAAAAATTAATAACACACAACTACAAGAATGAAATTTTCCATATCTCACACTGATTGTCTATTGCAAAGGACAAAAGAAATTCATGTTGAAATGGCAGGTGCTCAGCTGTTGTCTTTGGAACATGAAATGAGGGGGAGGGGACAAGCGACACCTGTCCCCACAATAGCTGAGAGTAAAAGGTCAGATTTGTTGGTGCTTAAGAGTCAGTGTTTTCAACCCCTCCAACCTAAAACCAATGGGTGCTGCAGGTAAGATAACGTGGTTCTGATGACTTTTTGTAAAATGGAGGCGGTCTCATGTTCTTAACAGCCAATCAATCAATCAATCAATCAATCAATCAATCAGCAATAGCCTAAGTACTTGAGAAGGTTCACAGCTCAGTGGATAAAAGGTGCTCACTTCAAGGGCACAAGGTGGAAGTCCTGAGCAAGCTCATTTTCCGAACACACCCCTTTTTATTGTGCACCTAGGAAGAGAAGGTGAAGCTGAAAGGGAAAGGCCCTCCCTTAGTTAACACTCACTCATACTGTGTTTATGATTTTTCAAAGAGTGTTGATAATTTGAGAAAAAGGTCCCCGAATCACCATGTAAATTTTAGCATCAATTCATGGTTATATTAGTTAGTGTTTTGGGGTTCTGGTTGTTTTGGTTGCTTTTCTTCAAGGGAAATGTACAGTGCTTTTAGAATTAAGAGTTTCTTAGCCACCCTTTGTAAACATTTATGGGTTCCTGGATTTTAACACTCAGTCAAGCCAATATTTAATGTACTTGAAGGATCCGGATATTTGTATGAAGGGAAAGGAGAAATAAGGAAGGAGAAAGGCAATGCGTGGCAATTTAAATGCGTTTCTATTTTTAGTGTAAACAGAGGACTGTTCCTATCACAAAGGTTTTTTTTTTTTTTTTTTTATTCTACTCTTTAAAGCCAAAGTTTGCTATGGGTTTTGCTTTCTGAACTTGAATTCAGAAGTCTCCTGAGGCCTTTTTACAATTATTTTCAACTAACTCCTCTGCAGTTTGACCCTAGGGGAAGGTTCTGGGACACTGTCCTCCTTTGTGGGTCTGATGACACATTCAAGGAAGATGGAGCTGCGCTCAGCTCCTCATCACAACCTTCAAGGCTTCATGGGCTCCAGACATACTGATTCCCCCACAGTCATTGTGACTCCTTGGGCAGTGCTTTCCTTCCTTGTCTTTTCTTTTTCCCTCTGGCATTTCCCATCATCCTTCACCCTCAATTTCCAGCAGCTTAGCTACATGGATCTAATATTTTTTAATTAAGTTTTCAAACAACTTTTGTGGTTTCACTTTTTATATAGTGCTGGAAATCAAACCCATTCAAATTGTAGGCATTCTAGGCAAGTGTTCTACCACTGAATCATATTTCAAATCCCTTCAGGTAGCATCCTTCAATGTTTTACATTTATTGAGTGTGGAGTATGTATGTGTGTGCATGCCACAGTGTAGGTACGAAGGTCAGAGGACAATGGGTAGGATTCAGTTTTCTCCTTCCACCATGTGGCTCCCAGGGATGAAACTCAAGCTGTCAAGTTTAAGGGCAAGCACCTTTACTCACTGAGCCTTTTCATGGTCCCCCTCAAAGACTATTCTTAAACTATAACTTTCAGGAAAATCCTGTATGACTTGCTAAATTCTAACTTACTCTGCTCCATGACCAAGAGCCTCCTTCCAGTCTTTAATACCTCATTTCCTCCTATTGCCTTTACTAATAGCTCAGGCAGAGCCCCAGACACCTGAGTTTTCCCTTTAAAATACCATGCATTTCCATGAAACTTAAATTCAATAATAAAAAAAAGAGCATTCTCTGATTTTTATCCGACTCTGTGCATGTGTACCAGCATGTAGAAAAAAACCAAACCAGATTTCCTAGGCACCCTGTTTTTCTGAACATTCATTTATGAGTCATAAGTTGATCATAGTTTCCAAACCCCTCATGGAAACCCATGTTCTGACAAATACAGGTGTACTGATAGGTACAGCCAGGCAGGACATACACATTTACTGGGGCCAGAACAATCCAAACAATCCAGAATATGTTTTTTTTGTTGTTGGTTTTTTTTTTTTTTTTTTTTTTTTTTTTTTTTTTTTTTGGTGTGTGTGCTTGTACCTTGTGTCCTTATAGGAGACAACTATATGAAAACTGGTATGCTTTGTATCTATCTACACCAGGGAAGCTGATGTAAAATTAAAGGTGGAAATTGACATATCCCAAAGTCTTTCTCTGTCATAAAATTGAATGAGCACTTTGTTTGAAAGTTAATCCGTGACAGAGATGAATGGCGGGTGTTAGTGTTCCTAATATCCAGTTGACCAGGTGCTTGTTCTCTGGCTACAGACTGAACTCAGTTCACCCTTCAGCCTTGTCTTTGGAGTGCCCAGAAAGGCCACAGAGATGAAACTTCTGGGAACACTTTCAACCTTCAACACAGTGTACCTTTGTCGCTTTTGACCTTGGGGGCAACATAGTTGCTGTCTGTAAGTTTCTACCAGGCCAGGCTCTTGGGTTACTAAATGTCTTTATCAATACATTTGCTAACTGAAATTAAGTCAGTGGAGTGAGTAATCTTCCTCTGAATATGTCTTTTTTTTACCGTGACAACCCTCTTCTCCTTTTCCTTCATCTCATCAGTCATGGCTGTTAACAAAACAGTTTTTTGTTTCTTTTTCCCTTCATGGAATAGACTTGTGGGTACTTTGGAAAGTGGGATGCTCCATGACAATCTTCTGTCAGTGATGATTGATGTTCTGTGTCTGCTTTGTTTGATCCTGACAAAAGGCAAGGCATAACCCTGGCTCTTAATGGCTCCTTTACTTCACCTTGTCTAAGAAAACTAGAAATCATGGAAAAGGTGATGCCTAAGGGTTACTGAACTGCCCTTCAGGATCATTTCCGGGTGCCAGGCAATCAGTGCATGCAAATGAGCATGAGTGGGACTTTTTGGGTAGTTCACTGAAAGCCACACTGCTTCAAAGCTGGCCACAGACCTGACAGGCATCTGTTTGATACCTTGTGTGTTTCCACATCTGTACTACACTGCACTTTATTAACTTCCAGATTTACAGCGTCTGAAATTTAAAAGAATAAGTGAGCTGCACCAAACATTCCAGCCAGGGCTTGGGGTCAAGAAAGAACCAAACGACAAAGACACAAAGGCAGTAAGATAGACACAAAGGCAGTAAAGATAGACACAAAGGCAGTAAGATAGAAGTGCACAAATCAGTGGAAGTGCTTGCACCACAGGAAGTACATGCATCACAAAATAGATTCCTGGAACACACTATGACACAGTTGGAGGGTCCGTGCAGTCCTGGGAAAAGGCCTGAGTGCACTTCCTGTACAGCCACTTGCTTGCTGTCTGCCTTTGGAGAAGGTACTAAATTCTATAAACTGTAGCTCACTTACTTGGGAATGTACGTAACATACCCAAGTTTGTCATGGGAGGATAAAATGTAGAATTGCTGGCTCCGTGTCCCACATATGAGTAACTGTGTAATAGCTTCCCCTTCCCCTAATTTATTTTTAGTCAGAAAGCATTCCTAGCTCTAAAAATCAGAATGTACTAACCATCTGGTCTGAGACCAGCTAGCTATTCAACACCAAAGTTTAGCTTCTGAATCCTGGCAAACAGAACTTGAACTTGACTCAGTCAGTTATCTACATTGTACAATAATACCTCCTATTTTAAGCAAAAGGCAACAAAGGGGATCTAGGGCAATTGCATCTGTTGTTTGGGTAACAACCAAATCAGAGTTTTGGCTGATCTGTGTCTTTAAGCTTGAGATATTACTATCCTTTCAGGTTTTGAGCTTTCTAGAACAGAGAACAATCAGATACACAGTCTTTTGAATATATTATTCAGACAAGGTACTGAGTTTAACAGATATTTATAAAGTGCCCTTTATATTTTGGTTAATGTTAGGAAAGTGGTATGCACAGGAAGATAACCTAAGTTGTGTCCTCTAATTCAACAAATGAAGAGATCAACAGGTACATAATAAGTGAAGTAAAAAAAAGTCAGAGAAATGTAATAATGAAATAATGTATTTATGCATTTGATTAATTTAAAAAATTAATAGGAAGATTCTGTTTGCCAGGTACTCCTCTATCTATGTATTGATCTATGTATGTATGTATGTATGTATGTATGTATGTATGTATGTATGTATGTACGTATGTATCTATCTATCATCTATATCTATCTATTACCTATATATCAATCATTTATTTACCTATCTATCAATCATGTGTTTATCTATCTAACCTATCATCTATTTATCATCTATCTAATCTATCATCTATCTACCTATACATAAATCATCTATCATCCATCTGCCTGTCTGTCTATCTATCTATCTATCTATCTATCTATCTATCTATCTATCTATCTATCTATCTCACAGTTTATTTCTATCTTGTGGCAGATACTTAGGTGATTCTATCTTTTGCTTATTGTGAATAGGGCCATAATATGGTGGTATGCTCACTTAAAACCCTTTGGGTGTATAACTGGAGTAATACAGCTAGCTTAGTAGTTTTGTTTTTAGTTTGACAAGGCACCTCCACATGTGTTTCGACAGCAGACGGGCTAATTTGCATCCCTACAAACAGTATTAAG